CATACAAGGTAGCTAAGATAATTGTAGTACTTATTTCTATTGATTTTTTGAAAGAAACAGTTTATGCTTAATTTTTTGACCAATTTCCATGCTTATATCTGGTAATCTACTGATGTAGTTTGAAGACAGCAATATGCAATACTACAACCATTGTTGAATTCCTATCATTTTGTTCTTTGAAATTCTGAATTGTTTCTAATGTTTTTTATTATTTTTATTCCCTTTAAAATGAAAATTTTAAATTTTAACAATCAACATGAGCACAAACCTTACTTTTTAAAGAAGTAAGAGATTCTGATAGTTTAAGTAACTTGGATTTTTCCCCTTTTCTCTACTGTCCTTTCCCCTTTCACTCATCCCACTTAATTTTCTTTTGAACAATTTCTTCCCATGTCACAATAAGTATTGTGCATTTCAGATCTCATTTCCTCTTTCAGTTTCTCACACCAAGGAGACAATACAATGTTTATACATGTGAGTCTGATTTATTTCACTTTTAAGTATGGTCTAAACTTGAATCTTTTAACCTATAAAGGTCTCGAGTTTATCCTTTGTGGCTGCATAGTACTTTCTTGTATAAAAAACCACATCTGTTTTACTCATTCCTTAGTTGAGTGGCTGTTGGGTTGCTTCCAAGATCTAGCTATGACTAACAGTGCTACTATAAACAGGGGTGCACTTATATCCCTGTGGTATGATGTTTTGTATGCCTCTGGAAAGATACACAGAAGAATAGCTGAGTCAAATGCTACCGCTAGTCCTAATTTTTTGAAGACTCTCCACACTGATTTCTACATGAGTGGAATCATTGTACACACCAAGAAACAGTCAGGATGTGTTCCTTTTCCCCACATCCCCTCCAGCATTTGTTATCAGTTGAGTTTTTGATAATAGTCATTCTTTCTGGGGTGAGAAGAAATCTCAGTGTTGTTTTAATTTGCATCTCTCAAATGACCAGTAATGTTAAACATTTTTTTAACTATTTATTTGCTGTTTGTTATCTGAGAAGTGTGTATTCATCTCAGATGCCCATTTGTGGATTGGGTTTTTAAATTTGGAAGTCTGATTTTTTGGAGTTCTTTATATATTCTTGATAGTAATCCTTTCTCTGAGGAACAGCTGGCAAATATTTTTCCCACATTGTGGGTTGTCTCTGCACTTTATTGGCTTCTCTTGCTGTACAAAAGCTTTTAAGGAAGATGAGACCCCAATTGTTGATTCTTTGTGACCATTCCTGTGTTATGAGAATTTTAAGTCTTTGCCCACACAATATCTTCAAGTGTTTTACATATTCTATCTTCTGGCAGACTTTATGTTTGTGTTTTAATATTTAGATCTTTGATCTGTTTTGAATTCTGTTTAGTGGAGGGTGAAATATATTGGTCTAGTTTTAGTCTTTGGCATGTAGAGAACTAATTTTTCCAGTACCATTTATGCAAGGGGCCATCTTATTTCCAGCGAAGTGTTTGGAACCTTTGTCAAAGGTGAGGTAGTTGAGTATATGTGGGGTTGTCTCTGCATCTTCTCAGTTCCTGCAATGATCATCTGGTCTGTTTTTGGCAAGGACCATGCTCATTTTATCACAGTAGTTTTGTGGTATAATTTCAGGTTAGGGACCATGATGCCTCCTGCCTTGCTTTTGTTGCCCAAACTTCTGTTTGTTTCTATGTAGGTGGTGTAAGATCTCTTCTTCTTGTCATTTCCTTATCTAGTTTCCTTACCTCAAGTTACAACAGCAATTCTTTTCATAATCTATTTTCAGAAGGAATATTAACAGCATATTCTTCCTCTGAAGCTTCTAATGTGTAATAGTCAGTGCTCTTTTCACTCTGTTGGTGATTTCTTTTGCTGTGAAAAAACATTTAATTAGACAAGATTGCAGTTGATGATTTTTTGAGGTGTTTCCAATGCAGGTTGGTTTTTGCTCATGAATGTTCTGACTACCTGTATGTGTCCAAGATTTCTATCTCCTTTCTCTTCCAGTAGGTATAGTGTTTCTGTTTTAATATTTAGTTGTTTGATTCATTTTGATTTTAGTTTAGGGTATGAGATA